CACCCACGCACTCATTTCCACCCATCCCTGCTGGGATCTGAGGATAACAGATGGGGTGGGGAGGAACGGAAAAGGTAGAATTCCCAAAACTTGTTTCTAGAGGGAGGTCAAATCAATTTGAGCCTTCTTAGAAGCCCGGCATGCTGGTGGGGGAGGTGCAGCACTGATGTTCTCATGCCCTTGCTTCTAGAAACAAACCCGTGACATCTGTCCTCTCACCTAAATTATCCTGGAGACACAGTCTCCTGACTTTGGCCTCATGGGCTTCTCCTTAGTTGAGGGCCCCCTTGCTGTCTGTGTCTCTTCCCCCACCCCCATAGACCTCTCCTCCCTCCCTCTCGCTCTCTTGCTCTTCTCTCGCTCTTCTCTCAGCTCTTCTCTCGCTCGCTCTCTCGCTGCTCTCCTGCCTGGAGCTGAAGATGAGGTTGCCATGGAAACCTGAAGCGTAGTGAGCAGGGGGAGGGAAAGGCAGAGCCATCTAGCCAGGACTGGGGGCTGGGGACTTTGGGCTGTGGGGAGGGGACAGGGTTGACCCAGCAGGAGGAATATAACCCAAGCTGTCTGCCTGCCTTCCTCTGCCTGGGGTTGGCCTTAGGGGGCTGGGGTAGGAGCTTGGAGGGTCTGGAGTGCCTCTTTAGTTAATCTGATGGAGGATTAAAATCCTCCCTCACTCCTGCCAAATTAAGCTGAGCTCACATCTGGGCTGGCTCACCCCCCCCTTCCCTTCTGATGGGATTAGCACTCCAGCTGTGGGGGGCTGAGAGTGGGGGTAGGGGTGCTTCCGAAGAGAGGATGAACTACCTGCTAGCCTCATTCAAGGTGCCTGCTTCATATTGGAGGGGCTCCCAAGACCTTCCAGTGGGTGTAGGATGAGCAGAGGGACACAGTGTGGGGTGCGGTGGTGTGTGTGCCAAGTGTAGACCTGCTGGCTTCGGTTCCTTGGAGGCGCCCATCCGTGCAGAGGGCACATCTGTATATTCATCGTGTGTGAGGCACAGTGCAGTGTGTGCAGGAGCTTTGGGCTGTGGAGTGGGTGGGGCACGTCAGGTGTACCTGTCTGGTGGTCCTTGGGCCATAGGGGCTAGCCTCTGTTTTACTTATTTATTTATTTAAAAGGAGCTCTTGCACTGTAGCTCAGACTGGTCTTGAACTCCTGGCCTCAAGAGATCTGCCCACCTGGGCCTCCCAGAGTGCTGGGATTACAGGCGTGAGCCACTGTGCCCAGCCTGGCTTGTTTTAACCCTGTGCATTCTGGCAAATGAGAAACCCTAGGGTTTGCAGACTGGCCCCCGAGGATGCATTTGCCCTGCTTGCCTCTACCCCTCCCACCAAATGCTAACCAGCTTCATCTTTTCAGAATTGAGTCTTTGAGTGCTGGGCCAGAGCTGCCTGGAGGTCTCCTCTCCCCGAACCTGCCCCTGCCACATGTGCCTCTGCTTCCAGACACCTTCCTCACCACAGCCTCCCCGCCCCCATATAGCCTGCAGAATGGCTCTGATTTGGGGGAGGGTCCTCTTGTCTCTGAAGCTTCCCTCTTAAGGCCTGAGGGCCTTCTGGCCCTGCTAGAGATCTTCCCTTTCTAGTCTCCAGGAACAGACTCCAGGTTGATCCTCCCTTGCCCTAGAATTGTGCAGGAACTTTGAAGAGACCTCCTCAGCTGTGGGTGGCTCTGTGGGTGGCACAGGGACTGGACCCCAGACTTGGCTGCATGTTCATCACAGGCCATGTCTGTTGCCAGCTGTGGGCACCTGCGTTTGCCTTTATTATTTATTTTAGAGATGGGGTTTCACTATGTTGGCCAGGATGGTCTCGAATTCCTGACCTTGTGATCCTCCCGCCTCGGCCTCCCAGAGCGCTGGGATTATAGGCGTGAGCCACCTCGCCCAGCCTGTGTTTGCCTCGCCTCATCTGCTTCCCTTCCTCTGCTGGGGGAACCTGCGAGTCTGGGCTGACCTGAATGGCCAGGACCCCGGTGAGGTCTGGGGCAGGGGACTGCTGGAATCACCTGGATCTGGGACAGTGAAACTGGCCCAAGGGAAGAAGGATTTGCCAAGGTCACCCAGTAAGTCAGTGGCCCGGCCAGAGCCCTGCACTGGGCCCTTTCAGATTATGCCTCCCTTGTTTGAGTCCTCAAATCCTGAGCCCTGCCCTTCACAAGTGGTGGTGGCCTTAAGGGAAGTCACCTGTTTCCAGGTAGCTCTGATGCAGGGCAGTGTGGGTGGCTGGAGAACAGGGGCTGCCGGGCAGAGGGGCAGCTGGTGCCTAGCTCATGGGTGTGTCAGCCTTGGTGGGATGTGCCTAGGAAGAGGTCCCCGGAGGCAACCCATTGCTTACCTGGGTGCGGCCTGTGAGTCAGGAATCTGCAGGGCTCACAGCTGTGATGGGCTGTGGTCACCCAGGGCTAAAAATGGCTTGGTGGGCTCCTGCTTGGAGAAACCACCCACCAGTCCCTGAAGTAATTGGGGCCCATGCAGCCCCTCAGCCAATTCTCATACCAGCACGTACACATAAACCACCATGACTCACAGCTGCCTGTCTCTCCTGCAGCTGGTTTGCCATGGAACCTCGTGATGAGAGGGGGATGGAGGAAGACTGAGTTCTAGTCCTGTACCAGCTTCAACTCCGGGTGTGACTTTTTTTTTTTTTTTTTTTTTTGAGACAGTGTCTCGCTCTGTCACCCAGGCTAGGGTGCAGCGGCGCAATCATGGCCCACTGCAATCTCTGCCTCTCAGGTTCAAGCGATTCTCTTGCCTCAGCTTCTTCAGTAGCTGGGATTACGGTTGCGCGCCACTGTGCCTGGCTAATTTTTGTATTTTTAATAGAGATGGAATTGCACCATGTTAGCAAGCTGGTCTCGAACTCCTGGCCTCAAGTGATCCACCTGCCTTGGCCTCCCAAAGTGCTGGGATCACAGGTGTGAGTCACCACGCCCAGCCTGACTTTTGTTTACTCAACAATTATTTATTGAGTACTGCCTTCTATTCTAGGAGCCTGAGATAAATCAATGAACAAAAGAGACCCCAAAATCCCTCCCCTCATAGAGAAGTAGTGGAGAGAGGAGACAATACGTTGCTGTGATAGATTGGTTAATTATGAAGATGGCTAAGGGAGAAGTGCCTGGCGGCAGCACACCGTTTCCTCCTCTGAAATGAGGGAGTTGGACCAGACTCCTCTGGAGGTCTCTGCAGGCTCTGAGGGTTGCCCTGGCTCCGGCTACCTCGAAGCTAGGCCCTCTTGCTGGGGGTCAGGCCTTCCTGGGCCTGGAAATTGGGGGGCTTAGTTCAGCATGAACTGAAGAGATTGTCTGGGCGCAGAGCTGGATCCCTGTGTGCCTTGGCCATGTTTTTTAACCTCTCTGGCCTCAGTTCTTCCATCTGTCAAAGGGGTACACTGAGTACCAGTCACACAGGGTGGCTGTGAGAATTTGGTGAACTAGGGCACGCAAGCCCTTAGCACAGGGTGGACATTCACTGTTTTTTTTTTAGACACAGTCTTGCTCTGTCACTCAGGCTAGAGTGCAGTGGGGCGATCTTGGCTCACTGCAACCTCTGCCTCCCAGGTTCAAGCAATTCTCCTGCCTCAGCCTCCTGAGTAGCTGGGATTACAGGTGCACACCACCGTTTCGCTAATTTTTGTATTTTGAGTGGAGACAAGGTTTGGCCATGTTGGCCAGGCTGGTCTTGAATTCCTGACCTCATGACCTGCTGGCCTCAGCCTCCCAAAGGGCTGGGGTTACAGACGTGAGCCACTGTTGTTGTTACAGATTGAGTAGCCCCAATCCAAAAATCCAGAATCTGAAGTGCTCTAAGATACAAAACTTTGAGTGCTGACACGATACCACAGGGAAAATTCCACACCTGGCTTCGTGTGATAGGTCATAGGTCAAAAAGCAGTCAGTAATTTTGTTTCATGCACAAAGTCCTTTAAAATATTGTATAATGTGTATGAGTTGTATAGGAAATGGTCCCATCCCCAAGATGTTTCAGTATAGATATTCACATATTCCAAAATCTGAAAAAAATCCAGTATCTGAAACACATATGGTTCTAAAACACATCTGGTCCCTTAATAAGGGATATTCAACTTACATTTTACCTGTTGCCCTTAGGTGACCTCCTTTTTTGTCCTCAGGCTGGCCTTCCCGCCTACCCTGAAATTAAGTTGGACCTTGTTCACCCTTTGAAACACCACACTGGTCTTGTGTTTTCTCTATCACCACTTCCTCCAGGAAGTCCCCCTGGATATGTGTGTCTTTTTCTTTTTTTTTTTTTGAAATGGAGTCTCGCTCTGCTCCCAGGCTGGAGTGCAGTGTCGTGGTCTCAGCTTACTGCAATCTCTGTCTCCCGGATTCAAGCGATTCTCCTACCCCAGCTTCTTGAGTAGCTGGGATTACAGGCGTGCGCTACCACGCCTGGCTAATTTTTTATATTTTTAGTAGAGATGGGGTTTCACTATGTTGGCCAGGCTGGTCTTGAACTCCTGACCTCGTGACCCACCCACCTTGAACTCTTGAAGTGCTGGGATTACAGGCATGAGCCACCATACCTGGCCATACCCTTTTTTTTCTGTCTCCTTGTACCCTTCTCTGCATGGCTGGTCTCCACTTCTGGTCTTAGCTGAACCCGTGCGCATCTTCCCCCAGTTGGGCCCAGTGGCCTCAAGCTCTGTGTGGTAGGCACTAGGGATTATCCCCAGACAAGGGTGACCTTCAACCCTCAGAGAGTGTCCTGATGGCCATCCTTTCACTCAAGACAGTTCTCCTGACCGGCCTGCCACTGATGCCTGCTGATCCCAGGTCAGCCACTCCCAGCTGAGTCTGAGAAATGCTTGTCTCGCTTGTCTCCTCGGCATTGGCAGCGGACACTGAGGTCCCCCTGCGGGGCCGGGGCAGGGGCTGCCCAGGCCTAGTGGGTAGTTCCCAGGAGAGAGCACTCTGTGAGAAGCCCAGTGGCTCCTGCCCCTTCCCCAGAGTGACCCCGAGTCTTTTTTGTTTCCTACAGACACTACCCCAAGCAGTCCTTCACCATGGTGGCTGACACCCCGGAAAACCTTCGCCTCAAGCAACAGAGTGAGCTCCAGAGTCAGGTGAAGCGCTGTGGGGGCAGGGATGCTGGGGAGGGATGTTGTAAGCTGGGCGTTTGGCAAGAGCACCTTCCCCCTGCGGTTAATCTGCAAGGCTGAGGTGCTGAAATCAATCCAGGCGTTGCCTTGACTCTCGGCCCCCACCCCTGACTTTATCAAAGGAGCAGGGCAGAGCGTTCCCCAGCTCCCTACCTAGAGGGTGTTGGAGAGGTGTGGGGGTGTCTGTTGAGCCTGCTCTGGGGCTCCCTAAAGCCCACGTCCTCTAGGAAGCTGTTCGCCCCTCCCTCTTCCTCATTCACCTCACCCACAAAGGATGGGTTTTGGAGGACCAAGGAATTTGCCCCTCCAGGTCATGTCATTCTGAGGCTGTGCAGCTCACCCTCTATGGCCATGTCCCAAACCCCCGCCTCTGGTGGGCAAGGTGTGAAGGGCTCTGCCATGGGGAGGGGGGCTGTCCCGCCTTTGTCTCCTTTGGCTTGATTTTCTAGAGCCCTGCTGAGTGGGAGGTGTGTGCCCCTGTAGTGGGGGAGGACGGGTTCCAGTCCTCAGGGACACTGAAGAATAAGCAAAGGGTCTGGAGCCCTGAGAACAGAACAACTGACTCGCCACGGCTGGGGGTGCAAGGGCTTCCTGGGCAAACCTGGTGGGGGGGGCCGGGGGGGACTTCAGCAGATGAAAGAATTACGTGAGAGAATACCTGTAGGGGAATTTACTGTGTGGGCAGGCGCCCCGGAACAGCAGAAGACTGCAGAAATTCCACTGGGCCACATGGGGGGCCTCTCCCAGTTCCTCTGGAAGGGACTCCTGCTGCCTGATCTTGACTGACAGCCTGGGTCCGTCCATCAGGGAGAAGTGACCCTGCCCTGTGTCGGGCTTTTCATGCACCCTCTCTGGGAATCCTCCCAGCTGACCTGTGAGGAAGGTGCTGTCTTCCCCATTGTTAGAGATGAGGCTACTGAGGTCCAGCGACATTAAGGGACTGGCTGAGGTCCTGCGGGTAGGAGGAGAGGTCGTAGCAATATGAACAGCTGATGATCCAGCGCTCAGTTCTCCCGGCGCATGCACTCCTTTAATGGTCACCCGGCCCCGTTCAGCTGTAGGACCCCTCCCTTTAGAGAAGAGGAAATAGACACTGACAGCTTTGAATGCAGGGTTGTCTCACCCTGAGAATATCCATTCCCTAAGAAACAGTCTCTACCTTAATAATAAACACGAGAGTTCTTTATGCTGTAGAGAAGTTTTGTAGTTTATGGCTGGGGACTGTGGCTCATGCCTGTAATCTCTGTGCTCTGGGAGGCCAAAGTGGAAGGATTACTTGAGCCCAGGAGTTTGAGACCAGCTGGGGCAACATAGCAATACCTGGTCCCTGTAAAACAAACAAACAGAAAAACTAGCAGGGATGGTGCTGTGCACCTGTGGTTGAAGCTACTTGGGAGTTTGAGGCGGGAGGATCACTTGAGCTGATGAGTTGGAGGCTGCAGTGAGCCATGATGGCATCACTACACTCCAGCCTGGGTGACGGGGTGAGACCCTGTCCCTAAAAAAAGGAAAAGAAAGAAATTGCATAGTTGAGCAAATGGCTTTAGTTACTTCCCCTGTTTACCCTTGACTCAGCTCTGGGGGAAGGTGGAAGACCCACTGTCTCTGTTTTACAGATGGGGGAACTGAGTGGGTGAGTGAGGATCCAGGATTTGGGCCCTGGTCTTGCATTCCAAGCGTGGGGCCCGTGACCCTGCCCAGCCGTGGTAGGGCCTGAGGCTCACAGACTGGGCAGCAGCAGCTCACACCTGCCATCCTTCACCTGCAGCAGAAGCTGAAGTTACTGGGAACGCCATGGCCTGCTGTCAGCCAAGAAGTGGGGGCCTGGCTTCCTGCCCAGATTTTACAGACTCCTGCCAGGCCCCGACTCCTGCCTCAGATTCCCTGTCCTATGGAAGGGCCATGGGGGCCGGGGTGGAGGGGCTCAGAAGGACCTGGGGGAGCTGGGAGCAGGTGGCAGGTCTTTGGAGAGAGAGAGACAGACAGACAGACAGAGACAGAGACAGACAGACACACACACACAGAGACAGAGAGACACACACACACGCACGCACACACACCCTTCTCAGGGGAGAAATTCAAACCCCTTTGTCAGTCCCACAAGAGCATGGCTGCAGCTCTTTTTGCCCCGGCACCCGATCCCAGAGGGGTGGGGTTTGAGGAGGAAGCACTCCACATGGTTCCCCTGGATGGGCAGCAGGTGGGCAGAGCCTGCTGTTGGCAGGGGCTGCTTCTGCTCCCCACAGGGGAAACCGGCACCACACTCTGGGTTTGGGGGCTCCCTGTCCCTGGCCTGTGCCCCCTGTTTTCCAGAGGCCTGGCCTGCTAGGTTCCCCGGCAGGGCTCTGGGGAGATGAGAATGGCAGTCAATTTTCATTAGGGTCTCACTGAGGGCCAGGTGTGTGTGTGTGTGTGTGTGTGTGTGTGTGTGTGCGCGCGCGCGCGCGCACCTGACTTTTTTTTAATCCTCACAGCCACCTGGTGAAAGAGTGGCTGTTACTATCTGCATCATACAGATAGAGACACTGATGTATACAGAGGCTGCCCCGCTTGCCCTGAGCCCACGGACAGAGGCAGACATCAAGCCCTGCAATCTGGCCCTGGAGCCGGTTGCTCTGAACAGTGCTGACAGCACAGGCACCCTGCCCCATGCTCCCACCCGGCAGGATGCACCAGTCACCAGCAAGTAGGGAGGGCTTGTTGGAATGCAGATTTCTAGGCATCACCCAAGGGACTTTTGCTTGGCAGCTCTGCGTAAGGTGTAAGAATCTGCGTTTTAACTCCCCTGTGATTCTGATAAGGACTTTTGGTCCCACTTTAAGAAGCTTAGAGATGGGCCTGTGTGCAGGAGAGCACCGACCCTGTTTGTATTCTCTGAGGGGTGCAAGGTTAGGGTAGGGCTTTGCACTGAGGGCCCAGCTCTGTCCCCCTGAAGTGGGAGTCCTCGGGGGTGGGGGCTGAGGGCCAGGATAGGCAGGGAGGAATGTGCACTGCCTTCTTTGCAGTCCTGTCTCCCTTCCCACCACCCCTAGCTGTGTGGTCCAAGACTGGGCCCAGAGCTGTCTTTCCTCTCAGGGCTGTTCTTCCTCAACAGTAAAATGGGGATAGCAAACCCAGTTGCCTCAAGCTGGGGGCTGGGCCTGATGCTTTGAGGCTTGGAAGGGCTGAGCCGGCCAGGCTGGAGCAGTGACAGGTTCTGTTTCCTGTAGCCGCTGTAGGGGCAGGGCTGGCGAGAGCCGCCTGTGGCTGGTGGGAAGGGAAATGGGAGCCGCTTCTGCTTACCAGCTCCACCCACAGGGGCAGCTGGCTTTTCTCCAGGCCCCTTCTGGGCCTAAGCTCCCCGGGCTATTTCAGCTTTATTTATTTTCCCATCTCTATATTGGTCTCCAAAGTGGCACTTTAGGTGTCTGGGATACCTGGATCCCCCCCTGTGGAGGAGGTTACCACAGCTGTCCAGAAATGACCCTCTGGTAGTCCTGCCCAGGCCTGGCTGACTCGGGGCTGGCAGTAGGACCCCCAGCCCCCCTTCTCACCTGCTGCTCCCACTCCACCCTCAGGCTGAGCAGAGGCAGCGGCTTTGGGGTGGGATGACGCTGGTGGTGTCTCTGTGGCCCTGAGCCCAGGAAGAAGTGCCAAGTGCCAGGAGACTTCCACTTTTCACATTCATCAACTCGCCTGCATGGGGTCATGGGAAATGACAGGGGGTTTCTCCTCCTTGGAGCTTGTGAGCTGCGAGGGTGGAGGGGCATTGGCCTGAGATTGAGTCCCACATCTGCTGCCACCAGCTGTGTGACCTTGGGCAAGTTACTTAACCTCTGTGCACAGTGCCTTTGTCTGAAAAATGGGGATTACCTCCCTCCAGAGGGTGGTGTGAGATAGGAATATATGCTAAGCGTTTAAAGCTTCCTGGTGTGGAGTCAGCACTCAGTGTTTGCTGTGACTCTTCTCCTGGAAAGCAGATGGAATGGAACTTGTTATGATGAAGAGGGGAGCACACAGCAACCTTTTGACCACGACTTCCAGCCCTGGCTCTTTCCATCAGCTCTCCTCTCCATCTGTGTGAGCCTAATTTTTTATTTTTATTTTTTTTGAGACAGGGTCTCTCTCTGTCGTCCAGGCTAGAGTGCAGGGGTGTGATCTCGGCTCGTTGCAGCCTTGACTTCCCAGACTCAGCCTCCTGAATAGCTGGGATTACAGGTGTGCACCACCACACTTGGCTAATTTTTGTATTTTTAGTAGAGAGAGGGTTCCACGGGCTGGACGCGGTGGCTCACGCCTGTAATCCCAGCACTTTGGGAGGCTGAGGCGGGTGGATCATGAGGTCAAGAGATCGAGACCATCCTGGTCAACATGGTGAAACCCCATCTCTACTAAAAGTACAAAAAATTAGCTGGTCATGGTGGCGCGTACCTGTAATCCCAGCTACTCAGGAGGCTGAGGCGGGAGAATTGCCTGAACCCAGGAGGCGGAGGTTGCAGTGAGCCGAGATCGTCCCATTGCACTCCAGCCTGGGTAACGAGCAAAACTCCGTCTCAAAAAAAAAAAAAAGAGATAGGGTTTCACCATGTTGCCCAGGCTGGTTTCAAACTCCTGGTCTCAAGTGATCTGCCTACCTTGGTCTCTTTAAGTGCTGGGATTATAAGCGTGAGCCACCGTGCCTGGCCTAAATTTAAAAGCTAGTTTCTTTTTTGTTAGAAGGGGATGGGTTACAGAGTATGTTGCCACAGCACATAGTAGGCACATAATAGTGGAAACTGTTGGTGTTGTATTTTGCTCAACACATTTCGTATTTTTTAAAAAAAATTTAGTAATTTAAAAAAATTATTTATTTATTTGAGATAGTCTTGCTCTGTCGCCAGGCTGGAGTGCAGTGGTGTGATCTCAGCGCACTGCAACCTCTGCCTCCTGGGTTCAAGGGACTACAGGCGCCTGCCACCAAGCCTGTCTAATTTTTTGTATTTTTAGTAGAGATGGGGTTTCACTGTGTTAGCCAGGATGGTCTTGATCTCTGGGCCTCATGATCTGCCTGCCTCGGCCTCCCAAAGCGCTGGGATTACAGGCGTGAGCCACTGCACCTGGCCTTTATTTTTATTTTTATGGAGACAGGGTTTCACCATGTTGTGAAATGGGGTGCTATGTTGCCCAGGCTGGTCTCAAACTCTTGGGCCCAAGTGATCCACCTGCTTTGACCTCTCCAACTGCTGGGATTACAGAAGTGAACCATTTTGTTTTTAAGTCCAGCCTAATTTTTATCTTTTTGTCTTAGACCAAGTTTCACTTGTCGCCCAGCCTGGAGTGCTGTGGCGCCATCTTGCCTCATTGCAACCTTTGGCTCCTACGTTCAAGCAGTTCTCCTGCCTCAGCCTCCCAAGTAGCTGGGATTATGCCCACCACACCTGCTAATTTTTTTTTTTTTTTGTATTTTTTCAGTAGAGACAGGGTTTCACCATGTTGGCCAGGTTAGTCTTGAACTCTTGACCTCAGGTGATCCACCTGCCTTGGCCTTCCAAAATGGTGGGATTACAGGCATGAGACACCATGCTTGGCATTTTTTTTTTTTTTTTTTTTGAGATGGAGTTTCGCTCTTGTTGCCCAGCCTGGACTACAATGGTGTGATCTCGGCTCACAGCAACCTCTGCCTCCCAGGTTCAAGTGATTCTCCTGCCTCAGCCTCCCGAGTATTACAGGATTACAGGCATGAGCCACCATACCTGGCTAATTTTGTATTTTTAGTAGACATTCGGTTTTTCCATGTTGGTCAGGCTGTTGGTCTCGAAATCCCAGCCTCAGGTGATCTGCCCTCCTCAGCGTCCCAAAGTGCTGGGATTACAGGTGTGAGCCACCATGCCTGGTGTAATTTTTGTTTTTAAGTAATGACCTTTCTTCTTGTGTTGGGTCATCAAGGCAGGTATTTTCCCAGTTATGCTCCTTTGTTTGTTTGGAGATTATGTGTCTGCATTCAATTCATTCATCATCCAACACCATTGATTTTGTACTTCCTGTCTGAAGGGATGAGAAGCAAGATAGATCCAGGGAGAATAACTGACATAAAAATTAGAGTTTCGTGGTGGTGGTTTGGATGTCAGGAGGCTCAGGGTCAGTCAGTCCTGGCCCTGACACCAGAGTTTCCAAATTGGGAGCCAGGATCTCCCAGGAGTGCAGTGTGTTGGCCGAAGTGCTGAGTTGCATCCTGGCCTAAGCGACAACTGGGTTGTGACCTTGGGCAGGTCCCTCCCTCCACAGGGACCCCCACAGCACCCTGGTGAGCCATCCTAGACAACAGGGCAAGCACTCCTGCCTGGGTGAGAAGGTAGCCCCAATGGAGGGGCTCCAGGTTGGGTCCTCCCTACGCTCCTGGCCCCCCACCCTTCACTTCTGCCACCCCTTCCCTACCCAGAGGCCTCTCAGAGAGCCTTCCCTGTCTTGATTCTCCACAGTCAGGGTGTAAAGGTGCTTAAAAATGTTCACAGACTCCAGGCACGGTGGCCCAGGCCTGTAATCCCAGCACTTTGGGAGGCCAAGGTTGCATGGATCTCCTGAGGTCAGGAGTTCAAGACTAGCCTGGCCAACATGGTGAAACCCTGTCCCTACTAAAAATATAAAAAATTAGCCCAGCATGGTGGTGGATTCCTGTAATCCCAGCTCCTTGGAAGGCTGAGACAGGAGAATTGCTTGAACCCAGGAGGCAGAGGTTGCAGTGGGCTGAGATCATGCCATAGCACTCCAGCCTGGGCAACAGAGCTATACTTTGTCTCAAAAAAAAAAAAAGTGGTTACAGACTCCAAACGGGAGGGCTTGTAGAGATCAGCTAGCCAGCTTCCTTCAGGGCACCCTGAGCGGGGAACTGACTTGCTTAGAGACACACAGTAAGGTGGTGGTGATTCTAGGCACCCTCCTTTCTCAGCCCCTAACCCCAGCCCCACCCTCTGTGGGCCTCCTTATGTCAGCAGTGAAATGAATGTGATCCTTCCCCAACAGGGAGGGGGAGGCAGAAGTGGTTCCTGAGCCTGGGAACCAGCTGATGTCATTGCAGCGTCGCCATGGCAATTATTCCCTTGGATTAGGGGCCTGACCCTTGCAAAGCCAGGAAGCAGGGGAAGGAGTGGGGGCTGGCATTTGTTCAGCACTTTGTCGCTGACAGAGCATTTTCACACTGGCCCTCGTCAGCGCATGTCCAGTCCTACTGCGCGCTCCATGGTGCGCTGCTGCTTTGGAGCCACTGTCTGCATCGTGGGTTGGAATGACTGGCATTATGGTCCCCATTTTACAGAAGTGGGAACTGTGCTTTCTTTTCCCGAGATGAAGTCTCACTCTGTCACCCAGGCTGGAGTGCAGTGGTGTGATCTTGGCTCACTGCAACCTCCACCTTCCACGTTCAAGTGATTCTTCTGCCTCAGCCTCCTGAGTAGCTGGGATTACAGGTGCCCACCACCATGTGCCCGGCTAATTTTTGTATTTTCAGTAGAGATGGGGTTTCACCAAGTTGGCCAGGTTGGTCTTGAACTCTTGACCTTAAGTGATCCGCCCGCCTTAGTCTCCCAAAGTGCTGGGATTACAGGTGTGAGCCACTGTGGCTGGTGGAACTGAGTCTTGAGATGTTAAGTCACTGGCCCAGGATCACTCAGAAGTGGGAGACTGAGCCTGTGTTAATGCGGGCTCCACCTGGCTTTGTGCCCATACTTGATGATAAGCCCTCTCCCCATATTATAGCTGATTTCTGTGATAACTCTTTCACAGATGAGAAAACTGAGGCCAGGGGCTTTAGATGCAGGGCTTCTGTATCTGGAGCTAGATTTTTCTGTCTCTGAGTGCCTTACCTTCCCCAATACCCACTTCCCAAAGGGCCTCCCACTAAGAGTCACCTTGCTGGTCCTGGTGACTTCCTGGAAGAGCTGGTGCCAGGCAGGTTATGGACTCTTGGGTGGGATGGTGCCTCTGTCCACTGCATTTACTTCTGTTTTTGTTTTTGAGACGGAGTTTCGCTCTTGTTACCCAGGCTGGAGTGCAATGGCGCTATCTCGGCTCATCGCAACCTCCGCCTCCTGGGTTCAAGCAATTCTCCTGCCTCAGCCTCCTGAGTAGCTGGGACTACAGGTGTGCGCCACCATGCCCAGCTAATTTTTGTATTTTTAGTAGAGACGGGGTTTCACCATGTGTTGATCAGGACGGTCTCGATCTCTTGACCTTGTGATCCACCCGCCTTGGCCTCCCAAAGTGCTGGGATTATAGGCGTGAGCCACCGCGCCCGGCCTGCATTTACTTCCAATCTGATGGGGACCAACACATCCAGGCCCTTCTTGTCTGGATCAGAACAGAGAAGGAGAGGTAACCACATGGGTGAGTGACAGGGGCTTCAGGGAACAAACCAGGACTCTGACCCCCGTGGGATGTGCAGAGGGCCTGACTGGCGGTGGTTGCGTGCGCATGCGTAGTCGCTCCAGTCCAAGTGCAGCTTGATGCTGCTGCCGGATGAGTCCCTGCCTGGGAACTGCCTGCGTTTGTCCTCCTGGAAACTCCCAAGGTCCTGGGCCCTGTGTCCTGGGCTGACCTGAGTTCAGGACAGTGCAGCCCCCAAGGAGGAAATCCAAGCAGCTGGTGGGGTCTGGAACAGATGGCTGCTGAGGTGGACAGTGAGGTCTCTGGAAGCCAAGGAGTGGTTTCCTGTTCCATGAGCTTTCTCAGCCTCATTCTGTTCTTTACAGCCCCCAGGGAGGACAAGCTGTACCTCATATTTCAATTCCTTTGTGCCAGGGAAGTCCTTTCTGATGTCTGACTTGAGTCTCTCTGGTACTGTGGTAGGGTGGAAGGGTTCTTCCCTGGAGCTTGGAGACCTGCTGAGATGTGTCTGACCCCCGTCACTTTCCTCCCCTCCTATGGCGGTGGCCTCCGAAGCCAGCCCAGCAGGCTTCCAGAATCTGTGGGACCTGTCAAAGGCGCATTGATGTAGCCTGCCCGGGGCTGTCTCCACCCTCCTTTCTGGGCACCAACTCTGTCCTTTGGCACAGCCTCATTCAGCTGGTTGCTGAAAAGCTCCCCCAGGCGCAGTGGGCAGGGCCACATCCTGGCTAACATGAGGGCTGGGGCCGCCCTGGGAGCTCTGGAAAGAACCTTTTTCCTATAAGCTTCCAGACAGGATGGGCTGGGAGTGAAGGGTCAGGAGTCAGGCAGTCGAGGGCTTGCACTGGACCTGGACCACTAAGCTCTGTGACCTCAGGCAGGGCACTTTGGCTCTCTGTGGCTCCGTTTCCTTATGGGTAAAACGGAGCTGTTAATTGCGTGCATGTACATATGGTAGGACTTAAATGAGATGGTTCATGTAAGACCCTTGGCTCTGTGCCTGCCACTCAGTGCACTGAAGACTTGGTAGTGGCTTATCATGGGTCTAACACCTTTTGGCTGAGGCTTCTGCTTTGCGTTGGGGACTTCTGGTCAGGGTCTTTCTCCTGACCTTCTGTCCCTGTTTCCTAACTGGTTGCTGTCTCAGAGAGCCCCATGCTGAAGCCCTTTTTGCTCCCGGCCTGACTCCAGTCCCTCTTCCGCCCTCCTGCAGGTGCGCTACAAGGAGGAGTTTGAGAAGAACAAGGGCAAAGGCTTCAGCGTGGTGGCGGACACGCCCGAGCTCCAGAGAATCAAGAAGACCCAGGACCAGATCAGTAATGTGAGCTCCTGCCCCGCCCTGCCCCGCCCTGCCCCTTGGTGTCCCCACTGCCCTCTGTTGGGTCTCCTCCCTGCCAGCCTGGCAGATGTGAAGGAGGTCAGTGCCTCCACTGCTCCTGCTCTCCTGGGTGGGCCTGGGGAAGAGCTTGGGATTCCCAGATGCCTCTTCTCTGGGCACCCCCAGACCAGCCCGTATAGTACTTCCTCCTTGAAGGGACTGTGTTCTGGGTGGAGGCGGGGAGGGGGGAGCTGCGTGCTAAATCACCCCCCTACTCTCTCTGAAGCTGCTGTTTTTTCTGGGTATGGCGGGTATCAGGGTGTAGACAGCACATCTCATCTTAGCACAAAGTTCAAAACTGGGGTGTGGGGAGTGCCTGGCCTCCCTGGTCTGTGCCTGGGTGCCAAGATTGCAGTCATTTCCGCCTTCCTCGGCCTCCTCCCCCACCTCAGCCTGCTCTTCCTTCCTGTGTAAAAACCCCAGCAGGCTTTGCCCGCCAGCCCTGCACCCCTTGGCTCAGACCCCACACCTCCCTGATGGTCAGTGGCATCTGGCTATGGCAGGAGTTGGCCTGGAGAGTGGGTGGGGGATCAGCTGTCCCCAGTGTCATGTACCCTCCATGGCACCTGTGGCCAGAGAACAGGCCTCTGTTTCCTGCTTGGCAGAGCCACAGGCAAGCAGCCTGTGTGGCTTTAGGCAGGTGGGGGCAGGGTGCTGCAGGGAGCAGCAACCACGGAGCCCAGGCAGGGGACCCCCACGCAGAACGGCAGGGGGTGCCCAGCCAGCCTGGCCTAGGAGGTCCTGCCAGGGAGGGTTTAGTCAGGCAGCTGTCTTTATGAATGGAACAGGAAGGGATCAATGAGTTCCCAGTGTCACTCTGGGCTGAGGAACTGGGGAGAGAGATTGGGGGAGGGCCTGGCTTTCCGGTGGTCACCTCGGCACTCACTCCCTGGGCTCCACAGCCCTTCCCACCGTCCACCGCGCCCCTCGGCAGGGAGCTCCTTTTAGAGCTTGGCTGGGCCATGCCTCAAAAGGACTGCAGTGGTGGGTCAGGTGGATTTCAGAAGCACGGGCAGCCCACACACAGCGGAACCAGCCATACCGCAAACTGTGGCTTTCCAACTCTGACTTCAGCCTACAATAAAATGCACATCTGACATCTGACCCATTGACAGGCATACATTTATGGAGAGGGAAACAGAATGGAAGCTTTCACGCATGAGTACTTCTTTCTTCCAGCATGGTCAGATCTTTGTTTTTGAGAGAGTCTCGCTCTGTTGCCCAGGCTGGAGTGCAGTGGTGCTCTGCCTCCAGGGTTCAAGTGATTCTCCTGCCTCAGCCTCCCAAGTAGAGTAGCTAGGGCTACAGGTGTGCACCACCCACCCAACCCCTAGCTAACTTTTGTATTTTTGGTAGAGATGGCGTTTCACCATGTTGGACAGGCTGGTCTCCAATGCCTGACCTCAGGTTATCCGCCCGCCTTGGCCTCCCAAGGTGCTGGGATTACAGGCGTGAGCCACCAGGCTCAGATCTTTTCTAAAGATGCTGGGTGCAGGCCCCCACACACCCTCACATCATACAGCCCCTTCAAGGACTGAATTCCCAACACTTTGGCAGGTTGAGGTGGGAGGATTTCTTGAGCCCAGGAGTTTGAGACCAGCCTGGGGAATATAGCAAAACTCTACAAAAAATACAAAAACTAGCCAGGTATGATGGCACGCGCCTGTGGTCCTAGCTACTCAGGAGGCTGACATGGGAGGATCACCTGAGCCCAGAGGGTTGAGGCTACAGTGAGCCATAATTGCACCACTGCATTCTAGCCTGAGCAACAGAGTGAGACCCTGTTTCCCCCCCCCAAAAAAAAAAAAAAGGGTGCTGGTTGCAGGCTTACTGTGAATGGGTTTTGCAACTGGACCTGCAGTTTGCAGTTGGTAGACTGAGGAAACCTTTTGGCTAGCAGGGCCTGCCTGGGGATGGGCAGTCTAATCCTTCTCCCTGCCCCTCCAAGAGGCCGGTCACAGTTGACTTTCTACACCAGGGCCTGGCCTCACACCCCAGAGCTTCCCTTCGCGCAGACCCTCCAAAGGGTGTGTGTCTCAGAGCTCCCCTCTTGGAAAGTTGGGGGGGAGGGGCAGATGGCCTTAGATGTTGGGGAAAACCCAGGATGGTTTGGAGAGCTGGAGTGTTGGCTCTTCAGCCCCTGTGGCTTTTAATGTAAAGGCCCTTGTCTTTCATCAGTGACACTAGCTCCCAATCTGCACTCCCCAGCCCCCTGGCTGGTCACTCATTGCTTCACCCTGTGGGTTTTGGAGGAAGGAAGACAAGGAAGCCCAGTCATTCCTGCTTCCCTTTCTGGAAGGCTTCCAGAACACTCCACACTCAACCTAGGCCAGCTCCTCTTGTTCCCTCCCCCAGTTATTAGAGATGTTAATGTCCTGGTGACAAACCACGCCACCTTCACCAAGCCATCCACACCTCGGGAGATAACCATCTTGCCGTCCTCACTGTGCTGAGTTAGCTGATGGGCCTCTGCAGGAGGTGGGGGAAGGGATTGAGGCTGGCCTGGTAGCTGCTTTTGCAGCTTTAGCAGAGCCCTGTGGGGTGTGACCACAGAGCCTGGAGACAGCTTGGTTTTAATGAAAGCAGTTACCATCCGTCGGATGTGGGCCTCCAGACAGCTGCAGCACAGTCACCTGGAGGGTTGACTGAAAATGCAGACTCATAGGCTTCTCCCCTGGCTGCCAGAATCAGCCTCTCTGGGAGCGGGCTCCGGAATCAGCATATTAAACACATACCCTGGGTTTCTGTGGTGCTCTCTGAAGTTTGAGAGCCACCACTTAAAAGTCTGAAAAAGCTGACCAACCCCTAAGGCAGAGGGTGCCAGATCAGGCTGTGCCTCAGAATCCCAGGGAGCTTTATTTTTGAGACAGGGTTTCGCTCTGTCACCCAGGCTGGAGCACAGTGTTTACGGCTCAGTGCAGCCTCAACCTTCTGGGCTCAAGCCATCCTCCCACCTCAGCCTCCTGAGTAGCTAGGACCACAGATGTGCACCACCATGTCCAGCTATTTTTTCTTTTTATACTTTATTTTTTTCCAGAAACAATGTCTTGCTATGTTGCCCAGGCTGGTCTCGAACTCCTGGATTCAAGTGATCCTCCCACCTCAGCCTCCCAAAGTGCTGGGATTATAGGGGTGAGCCACCTCACCTGGCCTCCCAGGGGAGCTTTTTTTTTTTTTTTTTTAATAGAAATTAAAAATTTCATTTCTCACTATGTTGTCTTGAACTCCTGGACTCAGGCGATCTACCTAACTATAGGCATGAGCTACTGTGTCTGGCCCAGGGGAGCTTTAAAACATGCATAAAACCATTGCTAAACCTGTAATCCCAGCACTTTGGGAGGCCGAGGTGGGTGGATCACAAGGTCAAGAGATCAAGACCATCCTGGCCAACATGGTAAAACCCCATCTCTACTAAAAATACAAAAATTAGCTGGGCATGGTAGCGCACGCCTGTGGTCCCAGCTACTCAGGAGACTGAGGCAGGAGAATTGCTTGAACCTGGGAGGCAGAGGTTGCAGTGAGCCAAGATCGTGGCACTGGCACTCCAGTCTGGTGACAGAGCAAGACTCTGTCTAAAAAATAAAATAAAATAAAATAGATCAAATAACATTGCTAAATTGTCCCAACCTCCTGGATTGGGAAGGATTTTGGGAAAGAGGGCGTTTAGAGTCACACCTTTCATTTTGTATCCAAAATAGCATTCCTGTATGTGGCTTGTTGCTTTGCTTCCCAAATTAGCACCAAATGACTCGAGTTATTTCTTTTTTCTTTTTTTTGTGAGACAGAGTCTCGCTCTGTCACCCAGGCTGGAGTACAGTGGTGCAGTCTCGGCTGATTGCAACCTCCACCTCCCAGGTTCAAGCAATTCTTCTGCCTCAGCCTCCCAAGTAACTGGGACTACAGGCGCATGCCACTGTGCTGGGCTAATTTTTATATTTTTAGTAGATGGTTCACGGTATTGGCCTAGCTAGTCTCGAACTCCTGACCTTGTGATCCATCTGCCTCAGCCTCCCAAAGTGCTGGGATTACAGGTGTAAGCTACCATGCCTGGCCAACTCCAGTTATTTCTAAAGGCCAGGCCATCTTGCAAAAGAATAAGGATTTTCTTCCTTGGAGGGATGTGCTGAGATGGGCTTTTACCAGCCAGAGCATTTTCAGAACAAGTGCCTGGTCTCTGGGGTGTCTGCTTTGGATAAGTGTAGTCTGTCTGCAGTCTTGCTAAGCGGCAAGATAGTGAGGTAAGAGGAGATGGTGAGGGCCCAAATCCTAGCTTCTGTCATTCTGTGGCCAGGCAGGGGGTCTTTGAGCCTCAGTTTCCTCATTTGTAAAAAGGGGACAGTTGGCCCTATCTTGACAAGTGGTTGCAAGGAAAATGCCAAGTGCTTGGCGTAGGATAAATGATGTCACTATTATTATCATCACTATTATTTTTGAGACAAAGTCTTGCTCTGTTGCCTAGCCTGGGGTACAGTGGCACAAACATAGGTCATTGCAGCCTTGAACTCCTGGGCTCAAGTGGTTCTCTCACCTCAGCCTCCTGAGTAGCTGGGACTATAGGCATGTACCATTCTGCCGCAACTAATTGTTATATTCTTTGTAGAGATAGGATCTTGCTATGTTGCCCAGGCTGGAGTGTAGTCACGTGATCATAGTTCACTGCAGCCTTTAGCTCCTGGGTTTAAGTGATTCCCCAACCTAAGACTCCCAGGTTGCTGGGATTGCAGGCAGACACCATCACACCCGGTTATGTTGTCAGTGTTATTAATACTTTAAAGGCAGGCTTCTCTGCTTTCTACACTGTGGCCAAAGAAGGGATATGAAGTGAAGTGTGGCCGAAAAGTTTGGCCATTGTCTAGTACTGAGAGTGTGTGGAGATGAGGAAGTGGCTAGTATATTACCCATGTTTTTCTTTTTGAGACGGAGTTCGCTCTTGTTACCCAGGC